AATTTCCTTGAGACTGATTAAGCGAGGCTGTTACGACTTCCCGAACGGGAATCGAGCTACTGCCACGGATAAATTATCGCCGACGGTTTGAGCACCGTTTAACGCCACGATATTTCTTATCGCCATTAAACGCGCCGAAATTCGGGATCGATGGGTCCGCTCGCGAAAAACGTAATCGCGAAACTGTATTCTAATGTCGTACGGGTTTTTGTGTGTACTGCGATATGTCAAGAGAATTCTGTACCTCGAATACATTGCCGGGGCAAAAACTTTGGAACTGGGGCGTTGGAATTTGTTTGGAAGTTCGGGAGTATGGGAAGAATACATCTAGGAATGGAATAATGGAAAAATTAATGAATTGAGGAATTGCAGAATTGAAAAATTGAATAATTGAAAAATTGAAAAATGGAATAATTGAATAATTGAAAAATGGAAGAATTGAAGAATTGAGGAATTGAGGAATTGAATAATTTAATAATTAACGAATTGATAAATTGATGAATTGATAAGTTGACAAATTGACAAATTGACAAATTGACAAATTGAATAATTGAATAATTGAAAAATTGAAGAATTGAAGAATTGACAAATCGACAAATTGACAAATTGACTAATCGACAAGTTGATAAATTAATGAATGGATAAATTGAACTATCTATAATTTAATACCTTAAAGAATTGATCATTCGATAAATCCCTACAGAAACAAATTGAACATTAAAAAATTTACAAATTTATGAATTCGAACAGCAATGTATAAGCACAAAAAATTGAGAATTCAAAATTGATGAAATTTACAACCGTACCTGTCCTGTACACGTCGATGCAATCATAATCCTGCACCGTTAAAAACGTTTGAATCACTCCATAAAAAATTCCCGCCCATTTATTGGGTCAACGAAAAATAATTCCCAATCTGTGCACAGTGCATCAGCTCGCTTTTTCATATTTTTTTAATGGAAACCATCGCGGTACGTATCGGTAATTAATCGTGCGCAATCAATCTATCCACAGCGTAACTCTACCCGATTCGTATTTTAATTTTATCGAAGAGATTCGGACGGATGAATATCAATTGATCGTCCATATAATTTCCCAATTTGCATACGAGCCAACGTATGTATTTTCGATATATTGCTGCTTTGTGCAAACTGTAATTCACGCATGTACATACATACACATATATATACAGTCACATATATGTACAGACACATATACGCACTCACATACATTCACATACATGCGCAGACACATACACGCACATACATACACACACACACACACACACACACGCATACGTACACCTCGCACGGACACCACGCGGCGTAATTCCACGCATTATATTACGCCCCGTATTTCCACGCGTTGAATCTCCACGCGGCGTAATTCCACGCGTTATATTTCCTACGCCCCCTATTTCCACGCGTCGTAATTCCTCGCATTGTACTCTCTACTCCTCCTATTTCCACGCGTTGTAATTTTACGCTTTGTACTCCCTACGCCCCATATTTCCACGCGTTGAATCTCCACGCGGCGTAATTCCACGCGTTATATTTCCTACGCCCCCTATTTCCACGCGTCGTAATTCCTCGCATTGTACTCTCTACTTCCCCCATTTCCACGCGTTGTAATTCCACGCATTCTACTCTCTACTTCTTCCATTTCCACGCTTTGTACTCCCTACGCCCCGTATTTCCACGCGTTGAATCTCCACGCGGCGTAATTCCACGCGTTATATTTCCTACGCCCCCTATTTCCACGCGTCGTAATTCCTCGCATTGTACTCTCTACTTCCCCCATTTCCACGCGTCGTAATTCCACGCATTGTACTCTCTACTCCTCCTATTTCCACGCGTTGTAATTTCACGCTTTATACTCCCTACGCCCGGTATTTCCACGCGTTGAATCTCCACGCGGCGTAATTCCACGCGTTATATTCCCTACGCCCCCTATTTCCATGCGTGTAAGCACGCACGCATATACACACACACACACACACATGTTTGCACTCACACATACACGCACGCACTCACATATGCACCAGCACACATGCACAGGCAAGTGTAATTGACAGTACAACCTGGAATTTTTCTTGGAAAGTCGAGGTATATCTTTTAGGATCCAAAATAAACCATCAAAATAATTACAAGATCCGTTTTCATTCGCTGACAAAAGCGAGTATCCTTGACCTAACAAAAAGAAGGGGTAATTTTTTCCTCGGCACGAAATAAATCTCGATCGCTCCCGCGGGAGCCGGCGCCACAGTCCGGCGATAAATCTGTCTCGGTCGGAGATCACCGACCGATCTCCAAAATGGCTAATAAGTTTCCAGCTGGGTCCGCGAGAGAATCGCGTTATCTTGTTCCATCGGGAGCCCGGGCTCCACCCGCGGGCAAACTAGATCGTTTCCTGTTGCTTCTCTCCGAATTCCCAGACGACGTGCCGTTACCCTCGGCTACTTTAATGCTCGCAATTGACCGGCAGACTAACGATAATTGCCGTGGACAAAAAAAGAACGCTTCAATTTTCGTGGCTCCGAATCCGGGAACAACTTACGCTACTTCGGTAATTAGTGAGTCATCGGTGTTATGTCTTTATACAGGATGTTAGAGAAAGTTCTTTCGGGCATTGGTGAATCATGGGTCATTTGTTGTTGTAGGAATTTGAGACTTTGGGCATTTGACGTATTTGGGGAGTTGTACAGGGTGCCTCACAATTGGTGTACACAACTACGTCCCGTATTTCCACGCGTTGAATCTTCATGCGGTGTAATTCCACGCTTTATATTCCCTACGCCCCCTATTTCCACGCGTCGTAATTCCACGCGTTATAGTCTCTACGCTCCCTATTTTCACGCGTCGTAATTCCACGCGTTAGAGTCTCTACTCCCCCCATTTCCACGCTTTGTACTCTCTACGCCCCGATTGTAATTTCACGCTTTATACTCCCTACGCCCGGTATTTCCACGCGTTGAATCTCCACGCGGCGTAATTCCACGCGTTATATTCCCTATGCCCCCTATTTCCACGCGTTGTAATTCCACGCATTGTACTCTCTACTCCCCCCATTTCCACGCGTTGTAATTTCACGCTTTGTACTCCGTACGCCCCGTATTTCCACGCGTTGAATCTCCACGCGGCGTAATTCCACGCGTTATATTCCCTACGCCCCCTATTTCCATGCGTGTAAGCACGCACGCATATACACACACACACACACACATGTTTGCACTCACACATACACGCACGCACTCACATATGCACCAGCACACATGCACAGGCAAGTGTAATTGACAGTACAACCTGGAATTTTTCTTGGAAAGTCGAGGTATATCTTTTAGGATCCAAAATAAACCATCAAAATAATTACAAGATCCGTTTTCATTCGCTGACAAAAGCGAGTATCCTTGACCTAACAAAAAGAAGGGGTAATTTTTTCCTCGGCACGAAATAAATCTCGATCGCTCCCGCGGGAGCCGGCGCCACAGTCCGGCGATAAATCTGTCTCGGTCGGAGATCACCGACCGATCTCCAAAATGGCTAATAAGTTTCCAGCTGGGTCCGCGAGAGAATCGCGTTATCTTGTTCCATCGGGAGCCCGGGCTCCACCCGCGGGCAAACTAGATCGTTTCCTGTTGCTTCTCTCCGAATTCCCAGACGACGTGCCGTTACCCTCGGCTACTTTAATGCTCGCAATTGACCGGCAGACTAACGATAATTGCCGTGGACAAAAAAAGAACGCTTCAATTTTCGTGGCTCCGAATCCGGGAACAACTTACGCTACTTCGGTAATTAGTGAGTCATCGGTGTTATGTCTTTATACAGGATGTTAGAGAAAGTTCTTTCGGGCATTGGTGAATCATGGGTCATTTGTTGTTGTAGGAATTTGAGACTTTGGGCATTTGACGTATTTGGGGAGTTGTACAGGGTGCCTCACAATTGGTGTACACAACTACGTCCCGTATTTCCACGCGTTGAATCTTCATGCGGCGTAATTCCACGCGTTATATTCCCTACGCCCCCTATTTCCACGCGTTGTAATTTCACGCTTTGTATTCTCCACGCTCCGTATTTCCACGCGTCATGTCCCCTACGCCCCGTATTTCCACGCGCTGAATCTCCACGCGTTGCGATTCCACGCGCTGAATCTCCACGCGTTGTAATTCCACGCGTTATATTCTCCACTCCCCCCATTTTCACGCGTTATAATTTCACGCTTTGTATTCTTTGCGCCCCGTATTTCCACGCGTTGAATCTCCACGCGACGTAATTCCACGCGTTATATTCCCTACACCCCCTATTTCCACGCGTCGTAATTCTACGCATTGTATTCTCCACGCGTCATATCCCCCCCATTTTCACGCGTTGTAATTTCACGCTTTGTACTCCGTACGCCCCGTATTTCCACGCGTTGAATCTCCACGCGGCGTAATTCCACGCGTTATATTCCCTATGCCCCCTATTTCCACGCGTTGTAATTCCACGCGTTATATTCTCCACTCCCCCCATTTTCACGCGTTGTAATTTCACGCTTTGTACTCCGTACGCCCCGTATTTCCACGCGTTGAATCTCCACGCGGCGTAATTCCCCGCGTTATATTCCCTACGCCCCTCATTCCCACGTATCCGTGTTCTTCCTTAATAATTCAAAAACGAAGCTTCAAACCACATTTTTCCAAAGGGATATCTTATTCATAATCACGTCACCATCATTTCAGTGACCCAGTTGTGAAACCTCCTGTATAACCGCACCTTAAAACTCCAAATATCCCCAAAATTCCCCAATAAAAAAATTCCTTAATAAATACATGTCCAGCAGGTGTCCTCATTAATGTCTTCTTACCAGAACTCGTATGATAGTCTAAGTATATCCAGAACAGTGACGACAGAATAGAAAAGCGTAGGAGGAGCGGTTTCTCTCGCAGCACATACGTGCACGAAACACCGTTCACCGAACGCCCGAAGAATTGGACGATTACTATTTCGCCTCTTTCCTTTCAGGGTGATGATGTAACGGGACTTTCGCTGTCGCTGCAGTGAAGCAACGATGTCCACGCAATGCAATCGCTTCGTGCAGAACGCATGGAAGAAGGAGCTTTGTTCGAACTGCTTCAAACCGAGAGAGGAACATACGCTGCCAGATGACACGCTCAGGCTGAACATTGGCAGGGCCTTGAACCACGTCAAGACCGATAATGTCAAGATACAGGTATGTCGAGATCTATTAGGGGCACCGGAAAGTAATCAAAACTTTATTTGTTGGCGGAAAACATTCATTTATTAAAGAAATCTTAAATCAACAAATGATTTCTGTCACTTTCTAACACTTTTTGCCAGCGTAAATTGTTCCCTTCTTACAAAAAGTCCTTCGATTTTTCATAGAAAAACTTTGAAATCGTCGAAGAAATTTTGAATACTTTTCGGTATCCTAATATTTTCGATAATGTTACGTTCGCATAAGTTTGCTCGGTGATAACTAATCTTGTAATTTACTCAACGTAAGGAAATTTTCAAAAATTCTCCAAAACCCTATTTTCACCATTTTCCTTAGAGAAGCCTCTACTTTACTCCTGCATTTGACGAATTAATGAAACATCACCGACGTCACTTGGCCACGATATAAACATCAAAAGGATTCATACTTTACAGGGTCAAACTAGAATGTATATTTCACTCGAGACGTTTCGTTTCTCGTTTTTCATTTCCTTTTTCCTCGCCCACTTTTCCGCGGCACTTTTTACGAGCCAGCTTCCTTTCGCCGGATGCCACTGACACTCTCGTGTATCCTCTTTCTAATGCGGGCCCACGGACAAGAAACACACGGCTCCGGTTCTACGTATGGGTGCTCTTCGTTTTCTATTTGGCCACTCTCGACGCCAAAAAGTCCAGAGATTAGTCAGCGGGAGAAAGTGATCCGACTCGATCGCTCATCGAGCACATCTGCTCGAGCTTTCTCGCTTCTATTCGTCTCGGTTCTTTTCTGTTTTCTCCAGGGCGTGGATTGTAAACGTTTCGACGATGGTTATTTTGTTTGGGACGCGAACGTGTGTGATGTTGGAGGTTGGGCGGAAATGTGGGAAGATGGGAAATTGGGGTTTTGGGAATTTGGGGGTTGGGAATTTGGAGGGTTGAGAATTTGGGGGTTTGGGGATTTGGGGGGTTCAGAATTTGGGGGGTTGAGAATTTGGGGATTTGAGAATTTGGGGGTTTGAGAATTTGGGGATTTGAGAATTTGAGAATATAGAAATTTGGGGGTTGAGAATTTGGGGGTTTGAGAAATTGGGGATTTGAGAATTTGGGGGGTTGAGAATTTGGGGATTTGAGAAGTTGGGGATTTGCGAAATTGGGTATTTGAGAATTTGGGGATTTGAGAAATTGGGGATTTGAGAAATTGGGAATTTGAGAAATTGGGGATTTGAGAATTTGGGGGGTTGAGAATTTGGGGGTTTGAGGGTTTGGGGGTTTGACAATTTGGGGGTTTGACGGCTTGGGGGATAGAGAATTTGGGGGTTTGAGAATTTGGGGATTTGAGAATTTGAGAATATAGAAATTTGGGGGTTGAGAATTTGGGGGTTTGAAAATTTGGGAGTTTAAGAATTTGGGGGGTTGAGAATTTGGGGGTTTGAGCATTTGTAAATTTGAGAATTTGAAGGCTTGAGAATTTGGGGATTTGAGAATTTGAAGGTTTCAGAATTTGGGGGTTGAAAATTTGAGGATTTGAGAATTTAAGGATTTGAGAATTTGCTGATATAGGAATTTTGGGATTTCAGTATTTGATACTATAAAAAGATCATAGTATAATCATAGTATGATCTAGTATGATCTAGTATGATTTAGTATGATCTATTACGATCTAGTATGATCTACTACGATCTAGTATGGTCTAGCATAATCTAGTATGGTCTAGCATGATCCAGTACGATCGAGTACGATCTAGTATGATCCAGTACGATCTAGTATGATCATACTATAAGCTACATGATAATACAAAAATCTACGGATTTGTTAATATACAAATTTGAAGACCTATTAATTTAAAGACTCAGACATTTGAAAACTACGTAAATCTTGATACCTCGAGATTCAGAAATTTAGTTAATAGTGAAAATGTAAGGAAATTCTTGAATCTTATTCCAATCTACAGATTTGTACTCACTTATTAAACCTTAAAGATTTAAAAACGTTTCACCGTATAGGTCGATTGTTATTTGAAGCCCACATTGCCCTCGCGCAACGCCTACCCTCTCAAGACCCGGTTGTCGGCCGTGTTAGACGATTAAGCATCCACCCTTGTCAAGCAGTGACGCGGACACATGCATCATGTAAATTTAGAATTGTACGGCAACGGGGACGTCTCGCTGCGATTCAAGCCGAGCCTCTGAATGGAATATTAACTTTGACGCGGTCAAGTCCGAGTTACGGGCTTCGAGCGGATTCTTCTCTTAACAATGGATTTTCTCCCGGAGAAAAATGAGGGGACACGCCGCATTCATTGTGAAAGATTTATCATGATATAACGTAAAATGTACGGGGCCAAACCTTGAATACGCTTCCTCTTCGTTTACCTTCTTCGTTTATCGGAAAAAGTTGCTCGAAATTGGTCACATTGTATCCGACATATTTAATCCTTTGTATTGTGCATTCTGTATATTTATTTTATCTTGATATTTCGCGTTTTCATTTGCAATGTAATTGAACACTTAACGATGAAAATTAATGATGAAGATGTCTACGATTTTAGTTGAGTCAAGGTAATTATTGTAAGGTTAAGATAAGTTAATAAGGTGAAAATGTTAATGTTTTGTATTTCAGACAATTTTTGTGGGATATGTGGGATTTGGCATGTGTGAGATTTGGGATATGTGGGATTAGGGATATGTGGAATTTGCGATACGTGGGATTTGGCATATGTGGGACTCGGGATGTGTGGGATTTGGGATATGTGGGATTTGGCATATGTGGGATTTGTGATGTGTGGGATTCGGGATGTGTGGGATTTGGGACACGTGGGATTTGGGATGTGTGGGATTTGGGACACGTGTGATTCGAGATGCGTGGGATTTGGGATGTGTGAGATTTGGGATGTGTGAGATTTGGGATGTGTGGGATTTGGGACATGTGGGATTTGGGATGTGTGGGATTTGCGAAATGTGGGATTTGGGATGCGTGGAATTTAGGACGTGTGGAATTTGGGACGCGTGGGATTTGGGACGCGTAGGATTTGGGATGCGTGGGATTTGAGATGCGTAGGATTTGGGATATGTGGGATTTGGGATATGTGGGATTTGGCATATGTGGGATTTGTCATGTGTGGGATTTGGGATGTGTGGGATTTGACACGTATGGGATTTGACACATATGAGATATGGGATATGATAAAACTTTAATTCATAATTTCAGAAGAAATTAACGTTGTCCAACGAAAATTATGCTTGCCTACTCTGCTCAGCCACAGTTTGACGTTGTATCCATAACTGATAGAATTTGTTTCGGAAAAATCAATACATGAAATATTCATGACCAACTCGTAACACGTTCATTCTCACATTTGGTAATCGATATGCCATCGCATATGTTCTGGACCCGGAAGTTTTATTACCCTAGGATATTAAACTACGTCACTAAATCTGGCGTCCATGTATTTGTACATTCGTAATAAAACCTCACGAAATTTCCTTCAAAATCAATCCAAATTGAAGTGTATTAAAAATTCGAATAAAATTGATCACCCAGTGCATCAGTCAAAACAGTGAAATTATACAAAACTGAAGTATAACAAAAATTAAAATAAAATTCCTCACGAAGTACATCGGCATCAGTCAAAATAATGCAACAGTTACAAAACAGCAGTACACGTGTACGATTCACGTGCTTCCAAGTTCCTGCTTCAAAGTATTCTACAAACCGGATTCTCGGAAAGTCCTCCGCGTAAATGACCCAGTTGCACCGGTCATAATGCAGTTCGATGCACGCGTAGAATTTGACGAGAATTTTCCAAGAAACAGTTAGCTGCTCGTTGACTTCTCTTTGCGTCGATTAACACGATTCCGATAAACGATAACGGACCCGAGATACTAGAGAAATTACAACTTTGTCGTTACCGGTGATTCTTTCCTCGATTATCGAACCTGGAATGCTAATTCGACGAGTTTCGTCCGGTGATCTTGTTAGTGAACTTGTGTGCTGCAATGCCGTTTCGTGTGTCGCCATCGAATCTGGTTTTTCCACGTTTTTGAAGATCGTTATTAATTGGTTCCGTTAGACGAATTTAAATAACCTGATTCGGGAGTTTTTTTGTGGCGCATTCCGGCCGGGTCTAAGTTTGTGATGGAGGTTTAGGTTGGAGGAGGGTGGCGAGTTTGGGAGAGTTGGAAATTTGGGATTTGGGGGATTTGGGGTGTGTGGGATTTGGGGTGTGTAGGATTTGGGATGTGTGGGATTTGGAATATGTGGGATATGGGATGTGTGGGATTTGGGACGCGTGGGATTTGGGATGTGTGGGATTTGGGATGTGTGAGATTTGGAACGCGTGGGATTTGGGATGCGTGGGATTTGGGATGTGTGGGATTTG